ATCTTCGTAACTTTTTCGGGCGTTGTGCTCGAAGATGGTCGTCCAGAACGCTCGTCATCATCGACAGGGGTTCGGCCATTTTTAAAACGTGAATGCCACACAAAAGTTTGCGGACTCCCCAAATGCTTGCTTTAGCATTTCATAGGTTTCCGTAGCGGTTTTGGCGAGTCTTTGGCAAAATTTGATGCACACTCTTTGTTCATTAAAATCGCAGGAGGGTCGGTGTAATGCACTACCAAAACGCCCGTAACTAAGAAACAAATGCTAATTCGATGATGCCGGCTGGCACACTGATTCACTATGAATGTAGGCCGCACCCCCTAGCGGCAGAAGCTCGTACTACATCCGGTTCGCCCTCTATTGACACAGTCTTGAAACTTTCCGATCGCACCTCGTATATGAGAAGGTCCTTGTATTTCAAGATCTTTTCTCCTTCCTTCTTAATAACATTCCTGTCAGTCGGTATTGCGATGTCAATTTCGAGGCAAATTCCATTTTTGTTTCGAATTATGATATCTGGTTTATTATTTGTGATGGTTCTATCTGTTTTGATTTGTTGGCTGTCTTGACTTGTCTCCAATGCCTTCGGGATGTGTTTTTTACAAATGTTTCTCTTCTAGCTTTACCCCAGCGTTCCTGCATAAATCATAGGCTTTCGATCTATCCTGAAGCTTCTTATGATTGTGCCACGAATCCTCAACATTTGAAACAGCGTCACCAACTAACCCAGGAATCTACCTCTTGAGCACACGTGCCTTGTCTTTTCGTTGTGAATTTAAATTCGTTTTTTTATAATTTCAGATAAACAGCAAGTACAGTGAAGAGCTCGCCCAGGAATCGCTGGAATGGATCAAGTCCATTACCCAAGAGGACTTCAGCATTTCGGGTGACATGGATAACTTCTATGAGATCCTCAAGGATGGAACCTTGCTTTGCAGGTTGGCAAAAATACGTCTGTTCCGTGAGGGTTTCTTTGAAATGATAATGCATTTTCTTTACTTCTTGTTGGATGAGGTTTCTGGATATTATCCATCGTCCAATAAATAAAGATTATAATTATAATTTTACATTATTTCTGTGGGAATATAACCCGGTCTCTCACTTTCACTTAATTTTGACCCAAGAGGGAGAAAATTGTATGAGTAGGAACTCCATAGGAACCTGAAGACGGAGATAGAGTCATATCTCCGAAACGTCGTTTTACGTTTTATATTTACTAGACGATGGATAATATCCAAGGAAATTTTTATTCAATTGACTCTTCACCATCGTCAAGAAGTTTTAGATTTGAGGAACTCCATAGTTTCTAATTTTTTTTTCATAATATCATTGGAATGATAAAATCAAGGATGAAATGGATGGGGCAAGACAAAAGTTTGGTTCGACAGCCTAGAGGGAAGACGTAGACGTAGATGGAAGGACAATGTTAAAATTAATCTTCGGAAATCGGGTTTGGGAATATGGATTGGATTTGTCTGGCTCGGGATAGGGATTGGTGGAAACGTGCTGTGAACGTGGTAATGAAATTTCGTTAATAAAAGTAAGTTCTTGAGTGGCAGAGTGTATTGTTACCTTAATTGAGATTTGTACAGGATGAGAGGTAATTCACGAACAAGTTTTTCAGGGTGTCGTCCTTGATAAAAAAAAGTCGATAATATGAAACAAAAAACATCCTGTGACTTTTAGTTTTCGTGATACTCGTAACCGTCAAATGGGGCAAGCCATAAAACTGTCCAACCTGGGCGCCTCGCAGTTACTGTAGGTTTTCGAAGCGGCCTCCGTCCATTTCAAGGCAGACGGCGTCGACCACTGTCAGCTGCTCGGAGTCTTCCTGCTCCTTCAGATGTCCTCACAGGGAGAGAACAAAACGGGGTTGGATCCAGCGACCGAGGAGGCCATGCGATCGCCCCCCACGTCCAATCCCCTTCCTGGATATGTCGCGTTCTACCGGACATCTTCCCCGTAGCGCGCTGGAGCTCCGTCGTTCCGAAGCCAGAACAACCTCTGTCTCACAGCTGGAGGCACATCTTCAGGCAGCCCCCGGCAGAAGTTTCCAGGAAATCACGGTCGTTGAGCCCAGGACAACGTCGCCGACGATGCCAGCCCAAACGCTGGCGCTGAAGCGGGTAGCATGAGGATTATCCTGTGCCCAGAAGTGACTTGTGGACGTTGTAAAGACCCTCACGCGTAAAGCGCTTCGCCTATCCGCAAATCGTTCATCCTCAGCGTTTCGATGTCGTAGCCATTTGCAACATTGCGTCCGTAGAGGAGTCGCTCGTTACGAAGTGCGTCGCGGACCCTGGGTTGGGATAGTCCCAGTTCTCGTGCGAAATCGCGTGAGCTTCTCCACGGCTTCAAGTATGGCGTCCGTACAGTCCCTCGCGCGACCTTCATTCACGCACGTTTTGTCTCACGGAGACGCTTCTCCAGTCGTCGAAGCAAATTAGCGTCTGGTTGACGTCAACGAGGGTAACGTAGCGCGTATTCCGGTCCATAACAGACACCGAGGGTTAATGAGCATTTCGCAGTGTTCGTCGTTGTGCGTGCGTTCCATGATCATTCGGTCACAGCTGAGCCCTGCTGTGTCCATCAACGCTCTTCGTCTATCATCGTGACAAATAACACCGCTGAGAAGTGTTTGGCCCCATTTGACGGTGATGTGTATCTAGAAAAACAGCGTCTCAGGACATATATTGTAGAATACTTCCGACTTACTTCTTTTAAAAGAAGTACGAGATGCGATCGGAAAGTTTCAAGACTGCGCCTATAAAAACCCGCACACTTATCTCAGGTATTAAATTCATCCATCACCCTCGAAGTAGTTCTCCTGGGAGTGAACACAACGATCCTAGCGCCGTTGCCAAGCCTGGAAGCATCCCTGGAAATCTTTCTTTGTCAGCCTGTCAAGCACCATCTGCGATTCTGCCTGAATCTCTTCTATCGTCTCAAATCTCCTTCCCTTTAGCTGAATTTTCATCTTTGGGAAGAGGAAGAAGTCACACGGAGCTTAGAAAGGAAGTTGGAGTCGGTTCTTGCAAGATCTTTGAGCTCCTCACAAACGAGAAGTCGATTCTGCTTCTAGTCCTCTGACAGGATGCGTCGCATGTGGAGTTCTTCCTTTAGAATCAGCTGCCAGGTCCCATAGCCTATCCCAACAATGTCGCACAAATCGTTGATGGTACGACGTCGATCTTCGTAACAGTTTCGGGCGTTGTGCTCGAAGATGGTCGTCCAGAACGCTCGTCATCATCCACAGAGGTTCGGCCATTTTTAAAACGTGAATGCCACACAAAAGTTTGTGCACGACCCATTGCGGACTCCCCAAATGCTTGCTTTAGCATTTCATAGGTTTCCGTAGCCGTTTTGGCGAGTCTTTGGCAAAAGTTGATGCACACGCCATTCCGAAATCGCAGGAGGGTCGGTGTAATGCACTACCAAAACGCCCATAACTATCAATTACGAGGCAAATTCCTGTGCGCGAATTTTATTTCATTCTGTTTATAACAGGCTTATAAACCTTACGTGGAGAACATATTTTCCGAGTGGAGTTTTGCATCTGCGATAGGTTTTGTTGTTTATTTAGTTTAGGTGTAAGTACATTGATGGCGTAGTTGATCAGTAGCAAACATGCGTTTTTGATTGTGACCTGGTTTGTGACACTATATAGACCTGCAGGTGGTTACCAATTTTCCTCTAAAATGTTGGCAACCATTACCAGAATTCAGAAATCCACCATAATCAGTATCTCTACTCTGAGAAAACCTCAGGTCCTTAAGCCACTGTTCCGCTCAGATACATACTTTATTGTTTACTTTTTGATTTTACGCCATGTCAGAAATGCTCAAAATAAATGTTGTAGACCTGAATGGCATTTATATTTTACTTATATTTACCTATTTTTGTATGGTGAGCCATTTATAGAAGTATAATCAATATAATAAATATAATTAATATAATTAAAATATGTAATAATATATATATTTGAATTATATTTTATTTATTAATGGTGGGACAGTTATTTGGTTGTACTAAACACACGTGAAGTTAATTGTAATGTTCGGCATTTCAGGTTAGTAAACTGCATCAAGCCAGGATCAGCGAAGAAAATTAATCAAAGCACTATGGCGTTTAAGTGTATGGAAAACATCAACGTGTTCCTCGAAGCAGCCAGAGATCTGGGTGTTCCACCTCAAGAAACCTTCCAGACCGTAGATTTGTGGGAACGGCAAAATCTGAACTCGGTCGTCATCTGTCTGCAGTCTCTCGGCAGGAAGGTGAGTGAGAGCGGTGGCATTGCAGAAGATTTTAAACCGTGCAACCGTGTGTAGTCTTCCGACTTCGCTGCACAAAGATTCAAAAATGAATTAAAGTACAGGATCTACTATTACATGTCCTATTTGTCCGAGAGAGCAGCGACTGAGTGGGCAGCTGGTCAGGACAGACTTCCGTGTCTATCCACCAGCACCACCTGGCTATGTCGCACTTCCGTTTCTCATATAATGAAAATGAATCTTAATAGAAACTCTGAATTTGCAAAAGGGTCTGAAACTGCATTATGTAAGATTTGAGGTTTTCACAGCGGTGAGTCTGAAGATTTCTGTCTTCTGGGTTGTTGCGCTGTGTAGTCTGGTCGATGTTAACCAACGTTTCAGAGGTCATACTGCCTCCGTCATCAGAGTATGAAGATTTCTGTCTTCTGGGTTGTTGCGCTGTGTAGTCTGGTCGATGTTTACCAACATTTCAGAGGTCATACTGCCTCC